ACGGCTCAAACACTTACCCCTAAACAGAGACCACTGCCAGAACTGTGTGGGGAGAGAGAGAGAGAGAGAGCAAGGGAGCACTAATGAACCCATAAGGTTGGCTGTCATGATGAGAGTGTCATTTATGTGCGATTGCCGATGGGATACCTATTCTAGTGATGAGACCGTCAACAGATCCGTCACTCATTGCTACACCACTTGAGCACTCGAGCACTTGTTGCTCACCTCTTCGCACATCCATTTACACACAGCCTTGAAAGCCGTTCATACGATTACCCGCTGGGCTCCAGAAATCAACTAAACAATGAGTGCACTGTCTATGAGACAGAGCACCTAAAGTATACTACACCACCACCACTACCATCACTGCCATCATCGCCAACCACTACTACCCGATACAATACTGTATACACACTAATGTATTGTGTATTGTTTTCTATGTATGTATGCATTGTATGCATTTATTTTCATTTGCATACTTTCATACTTTCGCTTTTGTTGTTTTAGAGCCCACTCTTTGGCTCAAAACTTATCGAAACAGTGATTGAATAGTGATCTCAAAGATAACCTACATTTGGCAGACAAAGTCATTGAGCAATAAAGGCCTTTACTATCGCTTACATATGTTATACAGCGTTATAATTGACACGAAAATAGTAAAAACAAAAGTGATTAATCAAATTAGTGTTACCTGTGTTTGGGTTAAGCCTAGAGATGCTGCCAATTCTGCTCTCTCGGGTAGAGCTAAGTATTGGGTCCTTTGAAATCGTCTATTGAGTTGTTGGAGTTGAAGACTCGAGTATATGGTTCTCGGTTTTCGCATCTTTTTGCCCTTTCCATTCACTCGTAGTGTCTCTTCTAAACCACTCTTATCTGCAAAACAAATCACAATCTAATTAAATACTTGTTTCCAACATATTATCCATACATATATTTACAGCAAAATATTTGTTCTAATTATAAGTTAATTATAACTGAAATTCACATTTTTATGCTTTATTTTTGTTTTACAGATTTTCTTCCTTTTTATGTAAAATTATTTGCAAATCAAAATATCGATAAAATATTATAAGTTTATTATCGAGGCGCTAAAATTCACAGTAATGCATATTAAAACGATCTAGAATACTATTTATTAAAAATGCTTATATAAATATTAGTAATATATTTACCGATGCAAATCTATTTGGCACTGTTATCCACAGCACAACAAATCATTGCTTAAATTAGATTCAATACAAACACCACATTATTTACTCTTATGTTATTGAGTCACGCGATTCCCTCTTTTCTATCATTTGGTTTTTCAGTTCTTCTCTACACATATTTCAATGAATTTCTCTTTTAAAATATCAAAACATATTCAATACATGAATACTCATACTATGCATAAACTGCAATATACTGTATTTTGCATGAAATTTATTTTTAAACCATCGATTCACCACTTATTCACTCTTTTCTATTGTATTTTATTTTCTTTACTAAAAACTTAATGGCATTCAGTATTGAATAATGAAAACAATAGTTCATCAATAATCACATGATTGTTGTTATAATCGCTATAGATCATTTCTTATTAATCTGCAATCTAAAGTGCTTTTAATGGATAAACATTCATTGAATTAAATTGCAATTTAATGCTATAATTAATTCAGACATTTATCTAATTTACTAATTATATAAATTATATTTACATTTATAAACGGATACAATGTTTATCTACAAAAATGATTTTACTTTCAACGACAGAAAGTATTGTTTGTAAGAATCTTTATAAACAAGTAATAAACAAATTCTTGTGACATATTATTCTGTGAATGTTTTTTTTATTTTATTTGTTTCATTGATATCATAGTATAGTTGAGTGAATTAATAGAAAGGGAAAACATAAACCTATAATTTGAGGGTTCGGTCCAATTATATGTGAATGAAATGAGTGGAGCAATGAATGAGTGCTTCCGACACCCGCACCACATGTCTCTCATACGTGATGCACAAACCTATCACTCCATTCACAGCATCTCATCATATGTTCCTCTCATACACTCTATCTCATAATCTAACACCACTTTTATGACTCTTTTCAATTTAGATCTTTATTTTATGATTACATAATTGTTTGTCAATTGATTTGAGAGTTTATTGAATACAAATCTAAACATAGATATATGATAACTGAGATAAACTGATTAAACAATTAGAATTATATTATAATGTTAATAACATGTTGTTTTCATTGATGTAAATAATGATTGTATTATAAAACTATTCTTTTTGAATCAGTTTTAAAGAATGTTTACATCAAGAAAATAATTAAAATGTTTAGACGTAAACAAATGTGAAAAGTTTTGATAACTTGCAGACATTGTCTAAAACTTTCGATTAGAAATGCATTCAATTGTTTGCATTTCATGAATGCATACAATTCATGACTAGAGAGAGAGAGAGAGAGAGAGAGAGAGAGAGAGAAAATAATTTTCATATAAAATTTTTATTGATTATATAACTAATATTTTGGCTAAATATTTGAGAGAGAGAGAGAGAGAGAGAATGAGGAGACTTACCATCTCTTGGAGGTGATGGACAGGGAGCACATGTAGTCACGTTTGGTGGATAAGTGCTGAGATATGGGTGTCCGGTGTGATGAGAGTATGTGTTGTGAAGTTGTGAGTTATTCATAGAGAAAGGATAAGCACCTAACGATCGTTGCTGTCCAGCGAATGCCTCGTGAGCTGAGTTTTGAGCTGAATATGAAGACCTGATGGAACTGTAGGCCTGGTGGTGAGGCATCGACAGTCCGGCCGCCGCCGCCTGCTGTTGAATGTCCATGAATGCCGACTTATTGGTGACGCTGTCTTGATCCAGACCATCCACTGTACCCATACTCGGGTAAGTGGTTGAGAAGTCCGCAAAGTTCAACGTGTTTGCAGGGATCAGATAAACACAATCAAAATTTTTCAATCCAATACCAAAACAATATACAAACACAACAATCGGTCAGAACTTCTCGCAAAAAAGAGATTCACTTGAAATGCAGAGGAAGAGAGCAAAATAACACACCTCTCCGGAGAGACACACCGTTCCCAACAACTATTGTTTGTATTTTAACACAAAATTACTTTTCGCATCAGAATATTGTCTCTTTTTCTCTGCTGTGTATTGCGATCAACAGCTTTCGACTAAAACATAACCGCCTCTCAGCCGACTGGCCGTAATATCCATCACATGTATTGCATAGACGCCGTCATCATGGGCTACACCCGACCCCCTTCGCAACGCTCTCCCATTGGCTCATAAACTTCATTCAGAAGCCCTTCTCGGCTATGGAGACCGTGTATGGGAACCACTCCTTCCTTCTGTCAATCACTTGCGTACTGAACCTCCCAATAGCCTGAAGGCAATCACTGCACCTTCAGCTAGACTTGCCTCAGCTCTGCTACAACTCATGCCTAATACTCTGAGCGCTCATGTCTTATACAGCATTGAATCCACTGTACGGTGCAATGCATGCCATGCAATACACGCTAACTTTACATATCACTATCTCTATTGTAATTCCCTTACTTTAAATCTCTACCAAATCAACACTACATTACACACAACATCTCGTATTTTTATATTTTATACAATAAGATAATTATTCAAAAATAAATGTAAATAATTTTCATATAAAATTTTTATTGATTATATAACTAATATTTTGGCTAAATATTTAAGAGAGAGAGAGAGAGAGAGAGAGAGAGAGAGATGAGAGTATGTGTTGTGAAGTTGTGAGTTATTCATAGAGAAAGGATAAGCACCTAACGATCGTTGCTGTCCAGCGAATATCTCTCTCTCTCTCTCTCTCTCTCTCTCTCTCATACAAGAGTTGGAGGGAATGAGCCCTTCATAAGGGAACAGATGTAATGTTATCCGAAAACAATTCCCTTTTTATAAGCATGTGATACAACATAACATACATGAGCCCAAAGCCCACGCATACCATACTTGAACCAACTATTTCTCAATGAGGCTAAAGGTGAGCGACAAATGCATCTCATTGTGGGTGGAATTGATAGATGAGATACTCGTTCACTGTTTTAAAACATTGCAAATGACTTTTTTACTATTAATATGACATAATTTCTCTACAAATTAGACATTTTGTCCCAAAAATGTTATTTTATTCTCTGTTTCAACACATTTGCAAAATGTTGTATTTTTCTAAATAAAACTTTTCAAAACTAAATCCTAACGAAGTTTCCAATGTTAACAATAGTGATGGGGAGAGTGTCCGAGCGATTATCAGCGAGAGAGAGAGAGAGAGAGAGAGAGAATAGTGAAGTGAAGGAGAGATAATTATAAAATTAAGTCAACTGTTTTAGACCGTTAAGTCTTAAGGAAATACATGCTTCGGTTACGCAATATTTGTTGTGATTTTTAAAGTATAGTAATTGTAACACTCGTATTGTATTGAATGCAATGGAAAAGCACGCAAATTCAAATCCATGTCCTTTCATGTCATTGTCCTTCACTAATGGACATCATTTGTGCGCTAAAAATATTAATCAATTTAAAGTCTATCATAAATATCGTTGAAATTTATGTCCACTTCTTTATATTTATAACTAATTACTTCCAAACATTTTCTAACATTAGTTTAAAATCATTTGTTCAAAAACTTTAATAACGAGTAATTGTTTGCCGAAAAACTAATGACTAGAATGAGCGCCAAAATAGTTATAACAAATAGACAGAGAGTTTTGGAAAAGAATAGAGAATTAAGAGAATTTTTGGTCGAAATGTCTAATTCGGCGACTCTTCAAGTCTTCAAGTGTTTGAGGACTTCAATAGTTTAGGAGAAGAGAGAGAAAAGTTGAGGTAAGAAAAGAAAAGGAGGAACTGCTGGCGCCAGCGCTTCGGCTTTGATGGGCTTCTTCTCCATTGGCGTTGGCTTTTGGAGTATTGCGAACTGAAAGGCAAGGCATCACTACTAACAGCACTACAGCCTCACAATAACAAATGGTTTGGCAGTTCGTAATGCCTTCTATCATATACTAACGGCGCTAATCAATCTTTGAGTGACATAATTATGTTTAGTATTACTATAACTCCCATTAGTATTAGTGTGTATTGGCATTTCAGATCAGCGTTGCATTAATTTATGGGCAAAATGTAATTAATAACCAAATGCCTGCAGAACACTAGGTATTCCCATCGCTGTATGCGAGACTGGGATACCAGTCCAGCACCGGTTCCACTCATACCATACTTCACTCCTATTGAATCGAAAAACATGCAAATAATGAGAATATTTATTTGAATTATTAGATAAGACATGAGAATGGGATGAGAGATAGTATGTGTGTGGAGGGTATGGCATGTATGGCAGTTCACTATCACTTTCAGTACAACAGTAGGCACTAAATAGTAAAAGCAATTTAGAGGAATTGCATTATATTCGGTGCTGTTATGGTATGACCCGTTCAGTCGCCACTCGTGAATCTTCACTCCCATAGCAGACACACAATACACTGTTTTCTCATAAGGTATTGCAAACTTAAATCCACAGTACAGTACAGGTATAGCCATAGTATAGTTATGGCCAGAAAATAGCAGATATGATATTAGTTTGGGTTTAAGCACGAAACCAGGCGTCACCGACAGCTACGCCCCCCGATATTTGATTCCTTTCCAGGCGGTCAACAATATTCGTGTAGATTTTGTTTTTGCTCACTTTTATTAGTAGTATTTTTTATTATTATATTTCATGAATTTTATAATCTTTTTTCTCTCTCACTCTCTGGAGTTATGCCATTTATAACGCAATGATTCATAAACTGTTCATTAATTCATTAGAAAATTTGTTAATAAATATTAAAACAACGAGTTTTTACATTTACTGCAAATATTTTACGAATTCATGAAATATATACACAAAATATGTTTAAGACGTTTATTGAATCGATTGGCTATAGATTTATTGCATGTTTTAGATTTATAGCGATATTTAGCTCAATATAAGGTTAATTTTAATACTTATTCCCGATTCTCGTCGTCGACTCAAACTTTTTTTTGGGGAAACAAAAAACAAAATTCATTTTTCTTGGTTTTGTTTGATGAGAATTCAGTCGAGTTTCTAATCATAATAATAAATCTTAGATATGAGTCGAGTTCTAATGCAAAGCTCACAATAAGAGTTGCTTTGCTTTTGCTATTTTTGATAGGGGCTATGATCTACATGTGCTCTCTCTCTCTCTCTCTCTCTCTCTCTCTCGAATTAAAATACACATTACAAGCGGTATATAAAGTGAAGTCTAAGTCTGAGCCCAATTTTGATGCATTATTGGCCATTAAAAACTGCCAGAAGATTATTATTAATGAGTATTACGTCAGAGGTATCCCAGGC